ACAGTTATAATCCTGAAAATCTACAATATTTGTCTTTATTGCCTTTGATTTATTTTCTTTTCCTCCAGAGGAGACTTAAAATGATAGGGGCAACTAAACACTGTCCTATTGAAATTATTAATCCAAAGAAAACTGAGATACAAAAGGCTTTTTTAGTGCTACAGGGGTACGTTGCAAATATCTCTTTCAAGTGTGGATATAAAATCATTAGATTCTTTAATCAGAAGTGAGTCATCCCAAAGCATAGACTTTGGGAAGACAAAAGTCATCTGTGTGTTCATTCCTTACTTCTGCCCACTGTCCACAGAGTTTCTAAATAATTTAGATTTTCGTCACTCTGAAAATGAAGCTTCTTTCAGAGAATCCTGCCAAAACCAAATTGTGTTGTACAAGAACTAGATGATTTTTTTTAAGTCTGGTTGATATCCATTATTTTAAATTATCTCACTGATGTTGCAGATAACCTTTCCTGTGCAAAGCAATATATATGCCCAAGGCAGAGGAAGCTCTGTGGGATGGATGAACAGAATTTTTAACAGTTGGAGCAGAAGCCATGGGTAACGCCCTGATGAGAGAAATTAGAACATGCATGCCTGTATAATTTCTCCTGTGAAATGAAGAGTGAAGAAGAGCCAGAGGAGAGTAGAAGTGTAACACAAGTCCAGAATGACAAAAGCAGGAAATTTTTCAATTGAAACTAATTATTGTTCTTAGTATAATATGGCATGTTGGCACACAAAGGCAACACTTACCTGCTCTCCTGTGATCAAGCAAAACCAGTCAGAATCATCTTGATCTCACTGGCTGCTCTGCTGGGCAGGAGTGGGTTCTGCTGCTCAGCTGCCTGGGGGAGACCGAGGGAATGGTCCCACTTGTGGTGGCTGGTGAGCCCTGGTTCAGTCCGGAGGCTTCCTCCAAGCTGCTGAACTCTGTGAGTGTGCTGGGCTGGTCATTTACTCTTCATCAGCATCCTCTGCAGGGAAGTGAAACTTGGAGTATCTCCAGCTGAGTTACACAGAGTGGTGTGCCTCCCGGTGTCACTCTTGGTTTCAGTCCTGGACTTGCAGCAGGAGAGAGTAATGCTGGTTTATGTGTCGGGTGGCTGAAGTGTACAATCAAGTGTATGTGCTTGTCCACATTATCTCTCTGTGTGCTCTGCATACAAAGCAGAAATGACATTTTGTTCGTATGTGATTATTTTTAATTGGTTGGCAGGTGTGCAGTGAGATTCATACTCCAGAATAGCAACGTCTTCAATATATGTAAACTAGTTTGAGATTCCTGAGTTGCACATCTAGAGCCCACAAGTTGTGCTACAAAGTAAAGTAAGGTGTGATCAAACTAAGAAAGTATGGTGTTCCATAATACTTGCACCTGCACAAAAGCTGCGGCTTTTCATCTGAATGAAAGTCTCCCACACAGTCTTGTGTTCCTTGTGGGGCTATTGAGTGTTGTTGCCATCAGAAGTCATTCTTGTGATTACAACTTCTGCAGCCATCATTTATTTTTTAATGATGCATCACTGTCAGATGAACATAACAGGCACTATAATCCACTAAATTGAGTGGCTTCTGTTCTCTATAATTCTGTTCAGTCTGTGAATTTCTGATGGAATCAGCTTACCAGGCTTGAAAACAGGCTGTGATTCAGGTAGAACTTTGTTTTAAAGTTAGAAAAAGTATAAGAGACAATTTTATTTTTCTTTTCCCCATGTGTTAAGGTTTCTGTAAGTAGAGGACAAAGACCCAGTTGTTTACTCCTATTTACTGTAATAAAAAAGCGAACTAATTCTCTTATGCATTGCAAAGAACTCTCTCCGTGCATCCCAAGTAGGTCTTGGATGTTGGTCTTCTTCAGTGTGACTATAAAGCCAAATGAAATACCTTTCCATAGTGAAGTCAGGTTTATTACAGTGTAATTTCCTTCTAAAAACAAGTTTCTTTTTGAGGACTTTTATCTGAAGTAGGTAATGAATGTGATGGTATTAAATAATTAAATAATAAAATACTGTTATGATGCCAAAAAGAACATCTCGGTCTCTTTGATCTTCACTTCGGCTAAAGATAGAAAATTTCACTAGAGACTTTTGTAAACAGACTCCATTAATCCAAACAAATTGTTTTGGAAACCAGCGACTATAATACTTGTTAAGACAGTGAATAACCTTGAGTTTTAATTTTCAATACAGCGTGAGTTAACTCCACATTAATTGGAGTCACGCCTCTAAGTCATGTTGTACTGCTCTGAAATCCGCATGTGGCTACTTTTGTTTGTCTTGGCTTTAATTAATCATTCCCTTAGTTCTTGGCAGCAGCCATTATAGGGCAGGGAAATACTGTTCCAGGTGTAGTGTTGAGCCTCTGTAGCCCCTGCCTGCCTCCTGCATAGCGAGGCTCTGTGCAGCACAGGCGGTCCTGTCAGCATGCAGTCCTGCAGCAGATGAAACACAGATATGTCTGTACTATTTCCAACTGGTGTGCTGATGGGAACTGTCTCTAGTAGTCTTTAAGCCTTTCTTCTATCATTGAAGAAGTTCAGATTTCGTTTTTTCTGCATCTGCAGTGTTTAGTAACATTCTGTTCATGTGTAATGTAAGTTGCTGTGTGTTTGCATGTAGCTTGATTTTTGTTTTCCCACAAAGCTTTTCATGACTACCTAAGAATAAGAAGGATCCCATTTGAAGAGATGCAGACATCTGTTATTTATGTTGAGAAAAAGAAATACATCTGGTTCTGACAATACATTACTTTATGTCCCTTTTAAGAATGCACCAGTGGATATAACCATCTCAATTAAGAGTGTCAGTGGAGTTAATACAGAGACGTACCCTGAGAACTGCAGTGTCTGTATGGCTTGGCTCTCTGTGCACTTTGGGGACCTCATTTCTGATTGCCTTGTTCTTTCAAAGTTCCCTGATGGGACAGGGGAACAATTAACTCCCGTAAAGCAGAAGCCCAAGAGCAGCTGGGCCCACTAATGATGGGCAGTATGGATTTGTGCTGTGCCATACATGAATTTCTCCCCAGGGATAGTCCCTTGGTATCATCCCAGCATGTCTCGTGCCATTCAGTGCCCTCTGACAACATGGTGTCACTCCTCAGGGCTCGCAGTGCACACGTGCATTCAATCCTTACTAAAAACACTGCTCTGGGGCAAATCATGTGGATGTAACTAGTCTGTTCCAGCTAGTCCAGAGGAGAAGAGGCAGAAGTGGGGCTGTGTTCCTTGATCAGTTCCTCAGTGAGAAGCCCAAAAAGACAGATCTGACTCCCAGGTCTTCCTGTAAGCTGGTTCTCCAAATTTCAGTTGAAAAATAATTTGCATTTTCAAGAGTTTAATTATTGTTTTTTGACTATTTTCCTTGTTGTTTCTGGTTTTGAATGGTAGCTTAATGGTGAAGCACATGGAAACCAAATTTAATTCAGTACGTGTGACTGGCAGTGAGGACAGAGAGTGAACTTGGTCATTGGAGTGCTCAGATTGTCCTTTATCACATATTTCTCACCTGAATCCAGTTCTTGCACTGGGAAAATAGCTGTAAGGAAGTTAAAATGCCAGCATGTGGAATAGCAGTGAAGAGCAGAAGAAGAGATGGCTGAAAAGCTGAAGGCAGAGTAGTCAGTGTGGTGTAAGGGATTGCAGTGGAGTGTGCATGTTAACTCTGGGGTTTAAGTTTCCAAGGAAAAGCAATAAAACAACTGTGGAAGGAGGTAAGAAATTTCCTCTGTCAGAGGAGTTCTTCTCTTTGCCTTGTCTATAGAGAGCTGTTGTGGTGGCCACCACAAGTTGCCAGGCTTTTGTGACTATTTCCCTGACTGGGAGAGGTGTTTGTGGGGAGAGAAGTTTGTGTTGTTCATAACTCTGCAGTATTGAAGAACTTAATGGAGCTGGTTTGAGTTCTTTCCCTACCCTGACTCTGTTAAATACAACTATCAGACATTTTAATCAGTTTTGTTGGCACCTGTATACAACTTCAAATTATTAACAGTTGATTTATTTAGGTTGTGTGTGCAGTATTAGATTCCCTGTCTCAGCTAAGGGCTTGCTCTTAATAAATTGCTCTCTTCTGATGGTCCCTCGGAGCTTTAGTGAGAGATGCAGTTGTACTTGGTAACTAGAAACAGCACATTTTTAAAGATAACTAGCTATTACTATAGTGGTCATTGCAAGAAACAAATGAAATTAATGCAGTTACTCTGTGGCTGGAATTATGTTATTAGTCAAGATGATGATGTGTTTATGATACTGCAGAAGCACAGAAATTTGTAGCACTGTATGAAGACATTTTTATTTTAGCTCTTATCACAGGCAAGCTAAACATAACTTGCTGACTGTGAGAAGCACATGTAATAGAGTAAACTATATATGGGTTAACTGTCTGTCAGTCACTTATTCTTCTGAGCCACCACTGCTGCATGTGTACTACTTATTTTCTGGGGCTGTATGAGTTTATGTGAGTTCTGCGAGCAGTAAAAGAAGCAGTTTTTCCAGCTCTAGTACTGGCACAATTACTGACAACTTTTGCAAGCGTGATACTGAATACAGACTGCTGCCTGAAACTCCCTGGCTGGTGCCAAGGGGCTGACTAGGAAGTGTTGGCTAAAAACCTCCTGTTTAAATTTTTGTGAAGAGTGTACTCAGAGCTTACAGCTGCGTTCGTAGTTGAGGACTGAACCATTTCTGTGTTACGCTGGCATTAAAATAGAGTGTGACTTTCCATGTGAATTGGAGGCACTTGGATTTAGACTTGCTTCCATGCTTTTAGCAAATGAAGTGCAGTATTGACCTGTTGGCACGAGAAGCTAACGTGAAACGAAATGCTAAGAAGTGTTGTGAATGTGGATTTTTTTCTTTTTTTAATTGCATGCTGCTCTAAAACTGCCCCTTGAGGAAACTGGGAAGTAGGAACTTAAAAAGCATATTTGATTAGAGTAGTTGGTATTTCATTCGCCTGTGGGTTTTTTCCTGACTTTTTGTTCTTTTTTTCTTTTCTTTCTTAGTCTTCATGAAGAAATCATTGACTTTTATAAGTATATGTCTCCCAGACCTGAAGAAGAGAGAATGCGGATGGAAGTGGTGACCAGAATAGAAAACGTTATCAAAGAGCTCTGGCCTAATGCAGATGTGAGTAGGATGCTGTTTTATTTGTTAATTTATAAAAGCAACGTTTTGTGCCTGTTTACTTCCTGAAATATTGAATACTGAAAATGCTGTTTATTTTTCCATGTTAAAAAAACCCCAAAAACCATAAAAAGATTCTGGTCAAATGAGAGTACTGATCTTTCTTTCTGGAATAATACAGGTTAACATTTTCTATGACACATAGGACCAGAGACAAGTTAGTCCTGCTTTAGTCACAGAAAGGACATGGGGTGTGGCAACATTCTGTCTCATGAATATTTATTTACTAAGATTAATGGAAACATATCAGGCATCCATGCATGTGTTTTATTAAAAAAAAAAAAATCTTCTGAAATTCTTGTCTTCACTAGTAGCAGGGCTTCTAGTCCAAAGACCCTGCAGTCTTAAATAAATCTGTTAAGGTGGAACACCAGCAGTGCCCTTACACAGACCATGGTATATTTAATGGGCAATTAAATTAAATTGGCATATCTTACAAATTTAAAAAAACCCAGGAGTTTCTGTATAGGAAGAAAAAAATCTGTAGATCTGTGTATTGAGCTTACAATCTGTAACACCTCTTCCCACTGAAGATTGGGTTTTGGTAGCATTTACTCATTAGAAACAAGAGTTTCTCCTGTGCAGAGCTAAGTGTTTTTTGCTAAGGTTGGATTGAAGAGAAGACAGAGAAGTTACTTTTACAAGTCAATATGATTTTATGGGGACATAGTTGGATTTCTGGCATAATTGAATCTAGTTTAATTGTATTCCTCTAACTAATACGGTGTTCATTTCCAGAATGCACATTTGTAGCTGTAGTCATCTATTTGTAGATGACAGTAGCTGAAAATAAGGGCTTGTGAGTCAGAATAGCAAACCAAATTCAGACAGCAGAATCTCTAGTATAAGGAATGCTCTTTGATCCTGCCACAGTAAAAGATAATGTTTTGACATGAGTGACTTAAATTCCCAGTTCATTTCAAGTCTTCTTAAGCTTTTTTTGGAATGTGTTTTTAGAAATTGGCAGAATAGGACAGAATATGAATTCTGTATAAGCTCTGTGTATGTGGTGTGTGGTTTTGTGTGTAAAATATACTCACATTGTCAAGGTGGTTGTTGTTATAGACAATGTATCAGTAACGTATCATATGGAAGGAGCACTTTCCATTCACTGATAGCTGCCTTTGCTCAGTTGGAGGGCATCGGTGGAGTCATTACTACCTGCATCTGGGAATTTTGAGCACAAAGCTTTCCATGGTTTGAAACTGTGTAAGAGACTTTAGCATATGTCACAGGTGTTGTACAGCTCTCCTTAACCCAGTGAAACAGTGAGGCAGACCCTAATCAAGACTGGGAGCAGTGAACTGACAGCAATAATATAGGAAATAGTGTGGGTATGAAACTGTGCATGCTGTGATACACCCTGTCAGTGCTAGGAGGGGATTTCACCAAAATCACCAGTTGCCTCAGCCTAGAGGAGATGCCACTATTTCTTAGGCAAGTTTGTGTGCTGCAGGCTTAACTAGTGCAATGGCATGTGTGGATTTATGACCAGGGGATCTCTTTTTGTTACCACCCACACTTTGAATGGGGCACAAGACTTAGTGCTTACAGAGATACTGTTTGTAGGACAAGCTTGATCTGTCAAAGTTAAGTCTTTTATATTAAAAATAATTTTTTACAAATATATATATATATATATTAGGCCTTGAGAAAAGTCTTTCTTAAAGCTACTGAAACTTTTTTGTGGCCACAATACATTTAAGAAGGGGAAGCAGTTTACAAGCCTTACTGCAGGAGACAGCTGACCACTGGGCTGAGCTGTAACGTGACCAAGAGGAAGCACACACTGTGTAGTTGGAAACTGAAGTTCACTTTTCAATTAGTGCCAGTTAAAACTGCCAGGACTGTCTTTCTCTGCTGTGCTTGAAAATGTTAGAGAGCGAGAGTGTGCCAGTTCCGTTTTCTCAAGTCAGTAACTGTTCTTCAATGCCCGACTGCATTTTGTCTGCAGTTGTTATGTCGAGGAGGAATTCTCCTTTTGTATGTCCTTCCATTTTCTGGAGGCTAGGAGGGAACTGAACAGTGACAACAGACCACTGGGTTATAATTTGGAAATTACTGTGCTGTTATTTTTCTAACACTTGCTTTATCAGATCTGCTTGGGAACTGAACTGCTGAACTCAACTGTGTTCAACTTTGACAGTCTCTTGTTGTAATTTTTCAGTCCTTTGAGTTAATCACTAACCTTTTGGTAATCTGTGTTGGTTTAGCTACTTCTAAGATTCAGGTTTTGAGTACATGCTCTGAGAAGGTGGAGTGTTATCTGGTCCAATGTCCTCAGCTTTAGCTGTAGAGTAAAGTGATGAGTTAATGTTTAAGCGGTTCATTTTGAGTCATAGATGCAGCCAAAACAGCTAAAATAAACTTGTAAGTTAAACATACTCATTTAGTTTGTAGTTTCTCACTAAGCACATAGGTAAGACACAGTCATTAAAAATCAGATACCAAGAAAAAGGAAATCAGGCTTCATGAATCTAAATGTACAGAGAACATGTGGAATGTGCCTGAGCACGTACTTTTTTTTTTTTCCCCCTCTCCTGTTCCACTTAGGAAAAGGCTGAAAAAGCAGATGGAGGGGGGTAAAACTAGGTACCCTAAACTGTTACTTTATTTATAGAAGTTAGCAATTGTGTCATTTGCTCTCTTACTCAAGGGAATGTGCTTAGAAGGAAACATTCCTAGTAAGTGAGAACTGTTCTTGGCATCAGCAAGGCTCTGACCATAAGAAACGCTTTAATTACACTGAAACCAAACATCCCAAAACCTTAAAAGAAAACATTTTAAGACAAAGATTTTTGACCAGTTGAATATGCAAATTTGACTGTTGAACAAATAAGTACTTAGACAGTGGAATTTAGGATACATTTCCCAGAGTGTCTGCGTGACCTCACAGATCTGAAAAGAGGTAACACTGCATACTTCATGCCCTTCAGTTATGAAAATACTATGATGGAATGAAAGCAGAAAGATGAATTCTGTTTAGTTCAACAAACCTCAGAAATTCTACTTAATGACGTAGAAGAAGGGGAAGTTAAACTGGCTGTGGATAGATTTTTTTGTTTTGTTTTGACAGAGGTGTTTTGGTACCAAGGATTTACCAAGCTTTTGTGGTTTTCCAAGTTCTGCTGTGTGTAGTGAGCACGTATTTGGGCACATACTGTAATTAAAACTCCTTTGGGAGCTTTGGAATTTATTATGAACAAGCTCGCAGAAATGTGGGAGAAATAGTAACAATAACAGAGAGTAGAAGGAATCACTACAGTACTGTGAAGTCTGAAGTTACATTATGAGTGCAGATACCTCTGTCCATGTAGAATAAAAATATGATCAGCAGTGTTGGCACACCACAAAAACTAATGCTCACATCTCAAGCCATAATAGAGTCTTGCATTTGGGATGTTTTAAATGCGTGCATGGCTACAGAGCTTCAAGAGTTTTAATTCCAACTTTATAATAAATCAAAATCCTTTACAATCTGTGTTCTGATTTCACCATTCTTCCTCTTTTATCTTTCCAGATTTTGTGAGAGAGAGGTTGAAGTGTGGGTGTGGGTTTCTTTTAGAATTGTTCAGTGTTTCTCATACTCTGAATTATTGTACAAGAGCAGATGTTGTCTCATTCCTTTCAGTAAAGGTCATATATGTTGTATCAGTAAGTTTATGAATACTTTCAGGGTTGTTTATTCAATAAAGGCTCTCTTTGCTGTTCAGCTGAACACACTGTTTTGTTTGATAATGTGAAAGCACATTTAGTTTTTTCTGAACCCATCAGTGGTCATTTTATTGTGCAAAAGCAGTTTTCTGATGTTTTTGGTGGCCAAATAAATTCTAGTTTGACTGAACCCCATTTCATAGAGGGTGCTTTTATTATTATTCTGGATTAAAAATAGTGATAATTATTATTACAATCTTAGCTTTGTGACGCCTTGTGATGCTTTTCTTAAGATCTAGTGCAATATTGATGCTTATTCAGTGGCATCTTTTGCAGTCTTTGCTGGTTTGAGAAGCTGTGAACTTTCAACATTAAATTGTGTATGTACTTTTTATTGAGTGTGGGGTGAGTGGGTAAAAAAATGAAATGATAAAAAAATAAAGAAGAAGCACTCAAACTACTTCTTAGTCTGCTGAAGTATTAAGACACTCGCAAAACATCATCTCTTCCTGTTTCCCCCTTTTTCTTATCCTGAAGGGGAAAAACATAAAAAGTGGGTCATTTGACATCCAAATAGGTGGCAATCAAGCTAGTGTATGAGACTCATTAAAGCAGAATACTCAAGTCTGTATAAGGTGGCTCCAGGAAACACATCAGAAGACTGTCTGGTTGAAAATTAGTCCAAATGTGTAGATATTTTTACTTTGAAGTCTCACCAGCCCCCCTTTGAGACTCAGCGCATGAGTCCGACCTCCCGCAAGGCTTGGCTAAGGAATGAGAGCGAGGTTTTGGACAGCTTACAGTGAAAACCTGATGATTTACACCTTCAGTGATAGTAGAAATCCAGCATAATAAAGTAATTCTGTGGGATGCGAAGCTTGATGAAACTTTGTTTGTTGTTTAAGCAGAAATAAACAGCATTATGCTATTTGCTTTGTAATTCAGAAAAAAAAGGGTCATGATATAATGAATACATCAAACTTAAACTTAGAAAATGCTTAAAATTGGAAGGGTACACTTTGAGATATGAAAGCAAAAACCAAATTGAGCTGTTGCTGTTTTTTTTAAAATGTTCTGTCATCCTCAAGTGTTTTGAAATCTTGTGGTTTCTGGGTTTTTGCCAAATTTGGTCACGAGGACAATTTTTTGCATTATAAAGAAGTTTTTTTTAACAGAAAAGTCAAAGTTATTAGAGTTTCATGGGTAATAACAATGCAAATAATCCATTTTTGATACACTGAAGATATGAATGCTTTAACAGGAGTATTCAGAGTGCCTGTCAGCAATACCAGGATCTGCCAATGGAGGGTAGCAATAGCCAGCCTTTGCAAGCAGCCTAATACAACTTGTTTGTCTTCTGAAGCCTGAAAATTTGTTTTCATATATATCCTGTTCTTGTGTTTCAGGTGCAGATATTTGGAAGTTTTAAAACTGGTTTATATTTGCCTACAAGGTTAGTAATTTTTCAGTGTAAATTCTGTACAAGAGAAAAGATGACTTGTTGATACTTGTTACATTAAGAAAGTGTTAAGATATTAGTTTTCTGCAAAGTGTACAGGATTACAGTAAACAATATAAGCTATAACACATCTATGTAGATTTTGCATGTATCAGTAAAAGCATTTGAATTACCATGTGCTCAAAAAAGGCTTACGTTGTGATTTGGCTTTGTTAATAACAAAAGAAGAGATTGACTTTAAAAGAAAAGCTAAATTTTGTCTCCAGATAGCTAAACTGAAACCTTTAATGTTACCTTGTTAGTGTTAGCACTGAAGAGAGAAGATTATATACAGAATTGGCTTTTTCCTTTCAGTCTTCTTTTGTGAAATCTGTACAATAGTCAACATCTACCTTTTCCAAATTTATTTTGGAAAATATTTTAGTTTTCATAAAGAAAAATCATTACTTAGGGACAATGGTATCTTCTGTGTAGAAATTGTAAGTATTTTTAACAATTAAATAGAAATGAAAGGCTTAAATGGCTGCAGGGTACAAATGCATTTAAATAGCCTAATTCTGAGGATAGCACTTGAACAGAGTTCCATACTTCAGGAATATGAGGACATCTAATACTGACTGCAGGTGATGGATACCCTTGTCATTCTTTCATCTCTTTTTGTAAAAGAAGGGACCTGACAGATGTTTTAGCACCTGCTTTAGTCTTAGGAGTTACAGAGAAGTTGAATTGCTCAGTGTCTGTTTGAAAAGCCACAAGTTAGATGTACAGATACTCACTGTTTTCACATTTGCCCCCATTCTTGACCTTTTTTTTTCAGTGATTCTAAATAGGCTTAATTAAATTTGATTTGATGCTGGTAATGCACTTGACTGATAGTTTTTTTACTATGCTTGATTGTTTTGAAACTGATGTAACAAAAATGCTCTGCTGTTGTCTGTTTGGTTTCATATACTGCCTTACTCCAGTATTTGTTTCAGCTGAGGTTTTAGGGGGAGAGCAAATGCAGATACTCCAAATACAGTACATAAACCCACAAAAAAACCTTCCTGTGGCCGTGCTTGCCAGACTTTCAAAATAACCTGCATTTGTGTTGGTCATTAATTCACTGTTGCCTTCTATCAAAGCTTCTCTTCGCCCTGGGTTTTCCTGACCTGTCAGTAACTGTGTACTTAGTTTAGATTTCAGGCTCTGGGATTCAGGAAGACCTACAGTGGTTTTTTAATCCTGTTTCTCTGTGCTATTTGCCTTACATCCATTTACTTAAGCTCATGTTGAAGGTGTGTGCACACAGTTGTTTAGCTGCTGGATCTCTGTTCTTTTGCAGGCAGTGTCTATACTCAAGGTGGCAACAGAGCTGTTTTTTCTGTTTCGATGTGCATCAGAAAAAGGCCTCCTGTTATTAAGTGTCAGCAGTGGGTTTAACACTAATTTAGATTAGAAGAGAAATGTTCAGCAGCATTTCCTTCTCTCCAAGCTGGTTTTGAACATAGTTTTCTGAAAGCTGTCCTTGTCAGACAAATGGTCTGTGGCTGAACTGCTGCTGAACTCCTGCTGCCGGCACTGCTTGTTGGCAAGAGCTTGTTCATTTAGTGCAGATGTCGTTTCTTTGAGACTGTTAAAGCAGTGTTGTTTGTGAATCAGCAGACCTGTAGAATCTATAGGGGAGAGGAAGCATTCCTAATTTTTTTGTGTGTTTTCTGTTATGCAGTTTTCCATATCACTGAAGTGTCCTGCTAACATAACTACAGGTTTACATGCTCACCTCCTCTGTGTTCCCAACCAAGCAGGGAAATCAAAGAAGTAGGGGAGGAGAAAAAGCTCAGGATCTCACAGTACCCCTTACTGGCTGTGGTTGGGACACCAGCCACCTTTTGAATTTGGGTTCAGGGACTGAATTAGGTTGTCAGCTCCCTGTGTAGTCAAATGAATGTGTGTGCATAGGGGGGAAGTGTAGCAGGATGGAGACACCTCTTCAAGGAGCTGAGTTAATGAGTGAAATTAATTAGGTGGTTTGATCTTATTTAACAGCTTGTTGCTTCCTGAAGTCAAAGTTGCCACGTTTTCCTTTCCCTGCTCCCTGTTCTTGGCAGTACAGGACAGCTGGTTGCCATGTGCCCACTGGTGCTCTGATTGATCATGCAGAAAACCAACTTTGAGATGCAAAGAGACGGGAAATTACCCCAGAATTTTTTGGGGGCTCTTTAAGAGGGGATGAAGAAGGTTTCTGCCAGACCCATTAGTAGGTTGAACTGATTTGCTGTGGATTGGGCAACCACCAGACCTAGAGCAAAGGAGGAGACAGAGCCATGCATCTGGGAGTAGACGGTGGGGAACAGGACTTGCCCTTTCAGTGACAGATTGTTAAATTGGCATTAGTGGTAAATACAGGCCAAAGATGGTGGTTTAAGTTCATTTCTTGCTCTGAATCATTTTAGAGAAGCTGATCCCTCTCTACTCACAGTGTGGCCTGAGAAGACTAATCTTAGGCTTTGCAGCCCAACTGTGTGTGTATCTGTCCCCTCCCCTTCGTAACCTGAAATATTCTGTACTTCCCCAAGTGTAATAGTTCATCCCCACCCATTTCCTCAGAAAATTACGAATTAATTATTTGGTTAAGCTATGTTCTGTCAGCCTTATTCTAGAGATGTATAGATGTCAATTGTTTATATTTTAAGTGTGTTGGTCTTTTATTTGAATAATTTTTTTTTTTTTCCCATTTCAGTGATATTGATTTAGTGGTGTTTGGAAAATGGGAGGCATTACCGCTTTGGACCCTGGAAGAGGCTCTGAGAAAGCACAATGTAGCAGATGAAAACTCAGTAAAGGTTTTAGATAAAGCAACCGTAAGTTTGGGGGAAGAGGGTATTTCCTTGTTAGAAGCTAAATTTCAAATCAAAGATAGATCTTTGGGAAAAGAATGAATTTTTGTAAGAAGGAGCTATTTTGTTACATTAAATTTGAAATAGAACCAATAGTTCTTTTTAAAGTAAAGTTTTTATTACTGACAAAATAATTGATAGTGCAATAACAGAAGTATTTCTTCTGTTGGGGAAATCATCTGATATCCCATACACGCAACACACACTTGCTTTTAAGAGAGATTAGACTAGTCATTGTTGTGACTTAATGTGATTAAATGTTATGAATTTCTGACCTGAGTTTTTGCATAAGTAAATTATTTAATTTTTCTTTTTGCAAGTAAGCAGGCAAAATAAATTTTCACATAAAAATACTGCGTACAGTTTTGCGTAAAGAGATAATGGTATGTCATGCATAGAATAGGATTAATTGTTAAAATTTCCTACCTTCTGCTAATTTTAAGAGTAAGTAAGAGTATTGGAGTTTAAACAGGTGTCTAATTCATAGCTCTTATTAGTAGAGAAAGGTAATTTGGCAACTGCTCAGGTGGAGATACGTCAGAATGCTCTCAATATCTGTGCTTATTGTTTGAATCAATTTTGGTGAGGGAGCGATGACCCCAGTGACACGAGTTGTCATTTCTGGAGTCTCTGGTACCATTTCTCTGTGTTTCTCCAGAGTTTGTCTCCCCCTGGTGTCTGTGGTTCCCACCAGGGCTGAGCTGCTGCACCAGCTACTGACCCAAACCAGTCAAAAATCTGTAGTGGAAGATGAAGCATTAAGTTCTGTTCAACAGGACAGTAAATTGAAAATAGTGTTTATGAGTTAGAAAAGCAAGGTTTAAGTAAACAGATTGGCAAGGAGAGTGAGTTCATAAGTAGGAGTTCTGATTTCTCTGCCTACTTCCTCTCTACAAATTCATAAAATATTTCAGTTTTACTGGTGCATATAAGTATAAATGAAACCAGATGTGTCTTGGAAACCTGTATTGACTTAAACTGTCTTTTTTTTGCAGGTACCTATTATTAAACTGACAGATTCCTTCACTGAAGTAAAAGTTGATATAAGCTTTAATGTACAGAATGGGGTAAAAGCAGCCCAGCTCATCAAAGATTTTATCAAGGTTAGACAAAACTATAATAGAACTACAGAGCTGATTATTTGATAACTTAGCTTTATTTCTTGTTTTACTTTGATTGCATCATTACACTTTCACTCTGTTATTCTTTGTTGTCTGATACTACTGAGGGATGTTCTTAAGTTTTAGGTATATTTTCTTAAAAGACATGATGATATTAAAATATTCAAAGAAAGTATGGAGTGGTTTTAATGGTACAGTCATTAGGAAAGTGCACTAATGTCTGTCTTCACTGTTCTGCTCTTTTAACTGTAGTTCTTATAACTTAAAGGAAGTACAAACCATCTTGTTCTGGACTGAATATTGTTTCAGCATACAATGCTAATGAAGTAGAATAAGTTAAACTTACTGTTCAGAGATTCACTAGTACATGTATCATACAGTTATTTTAGTTTAATATATGGGATCATTTTGTTAGGATTAATATGCTTTTGTATTTAAAGTTTTGAAGTACCATTACACTATTTTCCTTTCCTTCCCTTCCCCTATTCAGTGCATTGGACACTCACAGTAATTGTTTCATAAAAGCCAGTAGATAATTTTTCTTAGATTTTCACTTTCTGTTTATGGAAGTAAAGTGCTGTTCAGTCTCACTGAAGTGCTTAGGTATTACTGTTCTAATACTGACTGTTTTGTTACTTTAACCAAACTACTGGACAGCAGGAGAATCAGAAGTATTTTGGTAGGTAGATAAGTAACTAGGTAGTAGCTAAGAGCTGGCCTTGAGCTGGTGTGGCAGGGAGGTGGCACATGGCTGCTGAGGAGGGTCCTTTGTTTAACTTGTAGAAGTCCTGATGTGTACTTGCCAAGGGACTTCACTGGTGTTCTTCAGGTGCTCTCCATGAAACATGTGCAGGGCATTCTTGTGGGTCTTTTTTTGTCCCACATAATTTTCAGTTTCTAACGGAGGTGTCATATTCGGTATTAGCCTTGGAAATGCCTATTTCTCTTTGGGTATGCAGTTTCCTGAGAACAATCCTGTCTTTGAATTTTGGTATACACTGTTATTCAACACTTCAGCTTGTGACCATAAGTTCTTAATAGTTCAAAAAAGGGACTGTGATGTCTTCAGTTAAATAGGGCTCCCAGTACTCACCATAAGGCTCATGCAGAGAAGTTCTTAGCGAAATTCTTCTTTCTCTTTAATCTTCTGCAGTCACAGACATCATGATCCACGTCTCATGTCCTGCACTAAGGAACTTTTTGGCTCTGTGTTCATAAAAGTGATATTACTGGGCCTCTTTTGCCCCTCCCCTGTGAGGGGGTGTACAGAGTGCAGGCATAGCCTCCACTGCTGTCCAAAGGGTCCATGTTCTCTGCATGTGCAGTGTATGCACACCTCTAATGCAATCCATGTGGATAGACCTATCAAAGGACCAGGTATCCAAAGGTAAATGTTTGGCTCCTTTGAAAACGTTATCTGAGTTTAGTAATTTTGAAGGGCTTTTTTTTAACTCTGGGCATCTGAAGTTCTTGCAGGACAGAAATCTCAGCCTACTTTGGGCTATCACCACAGTCGTATCAGGAAGGTTTTGTTACAGATCTCCGTAGTTCTTCCTTGACAATACTTTTCATTTGTATGATAATAATAATTCTTACTTTACGATCTTTTTGCTGTTGTTAAATCTGCCTCCAGAGTTGAAGAGGTAAGTACCTGTATTGATCGCAGGCAGAGCACTTGGCTTCTCCCCGTTGCTAAAAATAATAGCTTAGATTTGTACATGGCTTTAAGGTTGAATATAACAGATAGTTTCAATATGCTCTCTTAGCATCCGCTGTATTCATGCACCACAGTATCATAACATCTTTGTTTTTCTCTTTCAGAAATATCCTGTATTACCCTTTCTAGTTTTAGTATTGAAACAGTTCCTGTTGCAGAGGGACCTCAATGAAGTATTTACAGGTGGAATCGGTTCTTATAGTCTTTTTTTAATGGCTGTCAGTTTCCTTCAGGTAAGCTTCACGGAATCTGTGGATGCCACTGGTCCGTAAGGAAGAAGAAATTTGATCAACCCTTAAATTTAATAATTTAAACTATCATATTTGTGGATTTGCACCCCTTTTCATTTAAAAGTAGATACATACCACCTGTCTTTTCCTGTTCTTTCTCCCATACTGATACTTTTGGTATGAAAGATGTTTAGAACATCTGTTGGTGTATCAGTGCCAGGCACTGATACACAAAATACTGATATACATTATTGATACATATGATCTTGACATTCATCCTAAAACAACTTGAATGTTATGTAACTTATTTGGGAAAAGCTCCATAAGGTTGGTGTTACCTGTAGCTGTCCTTTGTAACACTTGATTTCCAGGTCATCTGCCCTGTACGTGCTTTAATGAATGCAATGGAATTGTGGTTGGTTGTGTAGGTTTCTAATGTGTTTTACAACTTTCTCTTGAATCTAAGAGGGCAAAATGCATGAGCTCAATCTATATTGTTGTGCCTGGAGGAGGAAAATACTGTACAAATATGAAGTAGTGATTTCTGGCTGTATCAGCCTCATTCTCAGCTAAATGTTACTGTATAACTGTGTGTCTGTAAGTGTAAGTCTCTACTTTTCCAGACTGTAGTTACTTTTAAACCTGAGTCTGGAACTGGAGCTCAGTGTTTGCTGAGTGCTATTGCAGTTGCCTGCTGAGCACAAAAGAAGTTAAGGCAACAGGCATCTCTTTTTAAAAGAAACCAAAATCTCTCCCAACCCCAGTTTTTCTTATATTGACTAATAGCACTTCCATTTGCTCCTGCAAAAAGGAAAAGAAATGAAGTCAGGTTTCCTATTATGTTGAAAGTAGGAGCTGGTTTTGTTCATAGTTTCTAAGGACACTACTTTAACAGCAGAGGGAACCATGGGTATAGCTGTGCACATGAGAAGCCTGTATTTGTATTGCAGACCCAGGTTTGTGAGGTGCAAATATCTTTGCTTTCTCACAAGATCCCTGCCATTAGTGCTGGATGTTCACTTACTGGACTGAAAGTTCAAATACAAAAACGTTAATGCTTGATAGCCTTTTTTTAAAGAGGTAATTATTTTATAGAAATTTTCATAGCATCTTGATTTAAAGATGCAAAACAGCTTTATCAAGAGAAAATACTATATTTGGACATATTTGCTTTTATATTATGGTTTGCATTTAGTCATTTGCTAATATGTGAGAAAGAGAAGACTCTTAAACACACTTGAAACTTGAAATCTTAAAAAAATGATTTTTTTTTTCTCTCTTCTTAATAGCTGCATCCCAGGGAAGATGCCTGTATGCCCAATGCCAACTATGGTGTTCTTTTAATAGAGTTTTTTGAATTGTATGGACGTCACTTCAATTATCTGAAGACTGGAATCCGAATAAAGGATGGTGGCTCTTATGTTGCCAAGGATGAAGTTCAAAAAAGCATGTTGGATGGCTACAGACCATCAATGCTGTATATCGAGGATCCATTGCAGCCAGGTATCCTCAGAAGGCAAGATTTAACATAGGGAGTAGGAAAGAAGGGTTGAGGGAGGAGCTCTTAATCCAGTGGAGTTAAATGAAAGAATTAGATATATGGCTGTGTATCTGTAGGTAGATGGAATGACCACCTAGAACCAAACGTTTGTTTGTGCTTAGGAACACAAGATCTACTCAGAATACAGTGATAGGTGGCTGCTGAAATGGTGAGTCAGGGGCAGTTTCAAGAAGTTTAACACGTTTCTGATCTAGGAAAATGTCATCCAGGACAGTACTGTTATACATGTAATATATGCAGTACAGGATTTTCATTTTTTAAATTATTTATTTTATTTTTTCCTTCGTGTATTGCACTTTTACCCAGAGAACTGATGTTTTGGAACTTCTGTGAATGTAAATATCTATAGGTCTTCTAAGCTCTTTCAAATATTTATGCTTCACATAATCCTGTTCTACAACAAGTATCTGCAGTTAGTTGGGACTTAAAGGCAGTTTTTAAAAAATGCTGATGTCTCCTGTCTGAAAGGTGATAACCACAGTTTCAATCTTATTTATTATATTCTTATTTTAAGGTAATGATGTTGGGAGGAGTTCCTATGGTGCCATGCAAGTGAAGCAGGCTTTTGATTATGCCTATGTTGTTCTGAGCCATGCTGTTTCCCCAATAGCTAAATATTATCCTAACAATGAAACAGAAAGGTAAATTCTCCATGTCTAAATCTCAGACATTAATTGCTGATATTTTTGTGTGTCTTAAAAATTCATTGTGGTGATGGTTTTGTTTTTCTCCTGGTTTGCAGTATATTAGGGAGAATAATTAGAGTAACACAAGAAGTGGCCACATACAGAGACTGGATATCCAAGCAGTGGGGAATGCAGAGCAGGACAGAGTCTTCGTGTAATGGTAAGTTTTGACTCAGCTGAGCGGAGATTGGGAAATTTCCTGCAGATTTTGATCATACAGATTTTGTTGTTGCTTTTGCAACATGTGCAATATGTGCATCTTAGTAGGAATTTCCTTCTTTTGTTCAGTATTCTCATCCTTTCATCCAGAAAAGTTAGATTTGTACAAGAGTAAAACGGCCTCGTCTTTATTCTACTGCAGTAGATTTGGTCAATAGAGAGGTCTGTAAAGAGTGCTGCCTTCCAAAAGGAGACTTTGGAAAAACTTCCAATTTAAATGTTGTCATTGTTACACTGCCTTTGTCCTTTAAATGGGGACAAGGTTTTAAAAAGAATTACTGGAAATGCTAGTTTAAATCTGAATACTAACCCTCTGTTCTTTTATTTTTCATTTTAAAGTTTAACATATCATATGTGTAGAGAAGTAATATTTAATCCAGGATTGACTGTATAAGTGGAATAAGCCTTTTAAACAGGAAAATCTTGAAATACCAAAAATTATTTTTGTTTTTAACAAATGGAAACAAAATCTACCCATAGGACTTGGTGACAGTGTCTTTTAAAATCATCTTTAATCCATTGCCCATCTTCTGACTTCAGCAGTCAGTTGCCACCCTCTTTTGGTGTACGTGTATCTTCTGTCTGGAAATTTTCAAACTAAAATTAATTTTAATAATCTCCAGTTAATTTTAGAGTGTTGCCTACTACAAGTCTTCTCTTGCTAGGGATTAATCAGTACATGATGCAACTACTCAGTCTTACCCCAACATTGGGATTTTGTTTATTTGTTTTTGGAACCCATGTTAGTGATTTTTCTCACTGTACCTGTCAGTGGAATGTGCCCTGGGCCATTTGTGTTCTCTCAGGCCCTTATGGCGCTGCTGTACCCCTGGGAATGGCAGAGAACTGCTGGTCAATCCTGCAAGGAATCCTCAGCTCCCTGTTAGCTACATCCATGCAAATACAGCTAGTGGGGCAACAAGTGTGTATTATGTAAATCAGAGGGAACTCCTAAGTGTCTTATGTGAGATAAAACAGCAATTAAAAAAATAAAAATAACACTGAATCAGGAAGGTAATGGTGACAGTTACAGTGGTTGTCTTGTAGATTTAGTTTGGATTTAAGTTCCAATTCTTTTTTTTTTTTTTTTTTAATTAGGACAGAAGTTAGTGGGATGTGAGAGTTTTGTATCTTCAGTGTAGGAAATCCTATAAAGTTCTTCTGATCCTATCAGCTCCAGCAGAAATAAAATGGGAGTTGCTGAGTATTGGGCACATGGGAACAGAATTTAAACCTCTGTATTTGAGTGCTGTTGAAGCATGGCATGAAACAATCTGAAGCAGCCCATCTGAACTTTGTTACTGCCACCTTCTGTGTGTTATTGCCCTAATTTCCATCTTGAACTGTGGGCAGTGCCCACGTTTTCATAGTGTGCATCAAGGGATGTTGTTGGGAAGCCACCACGCCCTCTGTGAGGTGCTGCCTGCAGCGTGTGCACACACACACCTCCCGTGTGTGTTCAGTGTGTGTGTGCAGGTGTCTCTGCATGTCCTGCAGGATGTAACAGGTTCTGTGGATCTCAGTGGGTATATTACAAAAATCCAAGGCAACATACTTCAGCAGTTAATGTGTGGTGATGCTTCTGTTTTGTTTTTACTAGGTAATGGAGTAACCTTGATAGTAGATACTCAGCAGCTAGACAAATGCAACAATAACCTTGCTGAAGAGAATGAAGCACTGGGAAAACCTAGAAATAAAACTTCAGAAACACTTAGTAAACATTCTTCAAATTCTTCATCAGGTCCTTTATCATCATCATCGTCTACACTGTCCAGCTCTAGTGATGTAGTAAGTACTGGAGGTTTTCTGACTTTTTTTTTTCTTTGGGGTTTTTTCCCCTTGTTTGGATCACCACAGAACACATTTTGGAAGCTTGGAGTCCTAGTTAGTTATTTCACCCAGAATCCTAACTTGCATAAGATGTTAACTCTTATGCAATTTCTACACATATAAGTTGCAGTGTGTTTTTGACACAATACATGTAGAGAGTAAATGCAGCAGATACAAAGTTCCGTAGCTCTCTTTTCTCTGGGAAAATGGTATTTCAAAAACAAAAAACGACTGGTAATCCTAAGACACATGCTTTAAAAAACAAAAAAGCAAAAAACTTTAAAAAAAATCTCTTTGGGAATTCCATTTAAGAAATAAAAGGAAAATCTCAAAACCAGAATCACATATCAGTAGAATTTTAAATCTCTCTGTTTTACTCAGTAAAAATTCTGGATTGAAAGAATTTTAATATCTATTAAAATAAATGTATTTTGAGTTTTGTCCACTGTTAGCTTTATTTTTAAAGGAAAAGTCACTTGTAGAAAAACTTACTCTTAAGAAAAACTCACTAATACTTTACATTTTCCTGAAGGATTCTGATGGAACACCTTGCAAAACCTCTAAACAATTGAGTTGTCGTCAGTCTACCACAAACAGAGTGGGGTCACAAGAAGTGTCACTGGAATCCTCCCAGTCGAGTGGGAAAACACAAAATAGCCAAACAGCCAATACATCCAGCAACACGAACAAATCTCAGGTTTGTGGAATGTTTGAAACAACATCTGTATAGATTATTTGAATATTACACATGTCCCCCATGGAAGGGTAGTTTGTTCTGGAAAGGAAATGCTGTGTTTTTCACCTCCCCTTTACCCCACCAAAAAGTTTTCGGCACTGATTTTTATCTAAAATCACCTGGCTCTTTCTTTACCTTGCACAGATGAATTTGCATCTGTGGCTTTCCCAGCCCTAAAACAGGTGAAATTGGACTGACTTTTTTGGGGGACATCTAGATTTGCCAGAGGTATAGAACTGGTTTGCACTCATTTCCTCTTTGCAAAAAGCACATCAGTCAAGTTTTGACTGCAGAATTTGAGAACTTACACCCAGTGAAAAACAGTTAGCTCAAATGTATGTTTAAAACTCTGGCTGCTCTGTTAGCTGTTGATACTTGTTGAGCTGCCATCCATTAAGGGAGGTTAAGATTCTTTGCTGATACATGAAATCCCCTCTCATTTCCCCCTTCAGACAAATATCTTTATGGTGACACCTACCAGAGCTTGTGCATTTAGGGGATTTCTCATGTTAAGAATGCTTCTATGGCAACTCAGTGTTCTGGAAATATTATATGCCTCTCTATATACAATATACTTTGGATATATGCAGTTTAAATTTTTATTCTTTGACACAATGTGAGACTTCTGAGTTTGAAAAATAGTCTGGAATCTTCTGGAATATTATTCCTGAAAATAATTCTAAAGATGTGCCTCCTCTTTGCTAATGGTCTATCTCTAGCTTCTAATGAGACAGTTCCCAGCCTGGGCCTTGCCTATGCCATGAGTGTGTGTTTGTGTTATTGGGCAGAACTAATTCCAGGCTGGAATGTGAATGTGCACAATCTGAGATCTCTATAGTTCTAAAAAGATGTGGTATGAAATTAGTCCTGGATGAGATTTGAGCAATCTTCCTCTGTTGTCTTGGATTATGGATTTACTTTTCTGTACAATGGTAGAAAAGTTCTGTCCTTTCCAAAATTCCAAGTGCTCTGCTCTTTTCTCTGGACCTGCATAGTTTTGGATCTAGAGATGAACATTTGTTATCCATCCCCAAAGTGGAAGATGGGCATTGCTGTGCTGCTGGCTCAGCAGTGGCCAGGCTCCTTCTGCCAGAGCAAGTTTTTCAAGTGTAAGGTTTTCATAAGTTAACATCCTCATTATCCAGAAACGGGGATGTGTAACTGCCACACTTGTTTCCCTTTATCATGGATTCACCGTGTTTTCTTTCTCTTTCAGCATGGATCTGCACGGTTATTTCGCTCTTCCAACAAAGGCTTCCAAGGTCCAACAAACTCAAGCCACGGTACCTCAGTCACAAACAAACAACATCAAGGCAGCAAATCACACCATCAGTTCTTCCACGGCAAAAAGAGGAAACACAAGAGGGATGCGGCCCTGTCAGACCTTTGTAGATAGTTGCCTACTTTATGACTGTTCTTCTGTGTGCAATGATCTCATGCTACAGGATAGTTTGATAGTGACTCCTTGGATCTCTTCTGGAGCTTCAGACTGTTCAGACATAGATTAGCAACTGCATTTTTTTTTTCCCAGCTCGCCACGGAACGGAACATGAAGATTGATCACTGCAGAAAAAAAAAGAGGAAAAAAATAAAAAAAAAAGGAAAAAAATGGAGAAAAAAAGGAAAAAAAAATTTTTTAAGAGGAAAAAGGCTGCTCATTTGATAAGTCATATGCTACAACAGGGTCATTTAGAATATAAAAGCTTGAATGTAAAATAAATGTAATTCCCATCAGCTCATGCTGACCTGTAGAGGTAGTACTCAGTGTGTCTAGGGGGTGGTAACAAACAAATAAAACACAAAAAAATAGGAAAAAAAGGCAAAAAATTGTATTTTGAGGGAAACCCAGCCTTTAAAGGTGAAAGTAATTTGTGCATGATTTTTTAATTATTTTTGCATATACTTACCATTTTATTGTGTATATATAGATGACCATATAGGAAAACTGACATTTGTAATAGTGGATTTGTTAATACTTTTTACATAACATTACTGTTTAAATTGTAAACATAAATTTTTCTCAGGATTAGTTTGGAAAATAATCTGAATTGTCATCTTAACATCCATATAAAGAGACATTACTAGTTATATTGCTCAGAATTTCTTTTCTTGCCATTTGAAAGATCTGATAGAATATTTGATCTGCAAAAGCTGTTCCTCTGAAAGAAAGGTTTATGGTGGCAAATGAAGATTTTCATTTGTATAAAGTGTACATGTACTTTGTGTAGACACTGAGCTTGTCATCTCGGAGAAGTAACCTTCACCTTGTTTTCTAGAGTGCCATCATTTCAGGCAATGGGGTTTTATAGCTGCATCCTTCTCTTCCTCCCCATAGTGGTCTCTCCTCCCTCCTTTCTTCTTTTTTTTCAAAGAAACAACATAAGGCCACTCGGGGGTTTTTCGTTTGATTGGTGGTGGTGATTGTTTTCTTTTTTTTTTTTTTTTTTTTTTTTTTTTTTTTTTTTTTTTTTTTTTTTTTTTTTTTTTTTTTTTTTTTTTTTCTGGTTTTAAAAACAACAAAACTACAAAAATCAGTTTGTTACAGACGTTTGCATTCCTGGGCTGCTTTAATCCCATGCCTCCTTGTTTGTGCCTTTCCTCCCCCTTCCAGGTCTGGGTTTTTTTGTCTTTTATATTTTTGCTAACTCCTGTAGGAGATGATAACTGTTGAAGCTTTAAGTAAATTTTACAATTAAAGTATTTTTTTCTCACTCCCCTCTTAGGCATTTTTATATTTACACTTAATTATTAAAAAAACAAAACAACCGTTTCAGATAACGAAATATACTTTGTATTGCCTTAAAGACCCAAACCTTTCATATCTCATCGTATTTCTTCATTGACCTAGTTATCATTTCATTTAAACTCCACATTTGTGTGGTTCAGTCACATTACAAGTCTAGGTTGCAGTACCTTTGATGCCATGACTGCGAATGAAATTGCAATTGCACTCACAGGCATAGCTTGGAACAGGAGTTGGGACACTTTGGTGGTGGAGAGTTAAGTGGCATTTACTTTCACATATTGTGTTGAAGAGGAAAGTCTGTACTTGGCGTACGTGGCTGTATTTAATGCAGCGGTTCTGAGATGATACTTTTATAAAAAGTACTGTTAGCTTTGAGAAACTCTTTTTGTATACATTTACAGAATACTACAGACCAACCTGACCTTTAATGGGCACTAATGAGTGCAGTGATTTTTAAAGTAAAATAAGACCAGAATTGGTGTTATCACTTAAATTAATAAACATTTTCAATGTGTTAAAGTGTTTTACTTCAAAAAGGAAAATATATATATTCCAAAAATACAGAAAGTTGTAACATTTACTCCAACACTAAGCTTAAGTGATGTTAATTTGACAATTTTTTTTTTTTAATTTTTAGATTCATACTTTAATTTGATCAGATAATTTTATCAAGAAGATGTTCAGCTTTTGTTCATAGAAGCTAGTAAAAGTTGTACCACATTATGCATAGCCAAGTATTTATTTTGTTTTAGATTATTGTGAATGTGTAGACTTATGTTCACCGCTTAGGGAACAATTATTTATAAATTATATTAATCCAGTATTGTTAGCTGCTATTAGCAAAACTGTTCCAAAAACTTAATACTTGCAAAGATCTGTATCGCATTTACCACACTGAAGTGTTTTTAAAAGAATCACCCTCATTGTTGAAAGCAAATGTACTCTTAGGGTGCAGATATTAGTGTTCCAATAAGCATGTGATAATTTTAAGGTGGTGGTAGCGGGAAGATAATCTTGATTCCATTGGGAATCTTAGGTTTGCCTCAATTTATGGTTTTCATAAATTTAATGGAAAATAGCTTTTCCTGGACTGCTCAAGTTTCTTTTTGGTAAACAGTATCTTTCTAAAAGAAAAAAAGAAAAAAAGAAAAAAAAAAAAAGAAAAAAAAAAGCATGAAGGAATAATTGAGGTATTTTACATTGCCTCAAATGACCAGCATTGTATTCATAAAATACTGTATATCTTGCAAATCTTTATTTAAACGGAACAGTTGAACTGTTCATTTTTCAATCTGAAGTAAAATACTTTCAAGACCTTTTAGTTTGCCTGCTCATTTGTCTTGTACATTTCATCTCTGTATTTGACTCAAGTCTAATTCCTTTTTGAGTTTCAATACTTTTGTGAAGATTTTGTGAATATACGAAAAATAAATGTTTAATCTAACTACTGCAGTTTATCACCATTCTTGACACCCTGTTTTCCCCTTCACAGCACTGTGGAAAGAGCTACTCGAGGTGCTGTGTAACACTTTTTGTAGTACCTGGGTCCTTCCCCAGCTCAGTGCTGGGCCCCTCTGCCTGGAGTTTGGAAGCTGACTTTGTTCAAGCGGCCCTGGTCTGCTCTTTGTCCTTCCAGGAGAGCTGGAGCAGAGTCTGTAAGCCTGAGAATAAGTGGAAGAATGTACACACATAGAGGGGTCCTTAATGTATGATTTTTCTCCAGCTTTCCTCCTCACAATACACAGGGAGCTTGTGGAAGGATCCTTTCTTTTTGTCTCCTGACCTTGGCCTCGGGGTAGTGCTCCAGCTGCAGGACAGGAGCTGTTCAGAGCTGCCACATTGAGGGCGTGATGCAGAACTGTGCAAGAGTTAATTTGATTTACTTCCAGCTCAAATCCGTGTTTAGCAGCTCCTGAAGCACAGCTGAGGTAACTGAAGTGTGTTCTAAACTTTGGTTACTGTCCTTCCTTGCATGGCTCAGTTAGGAAGACGCATACTGGAAGTTCTTGTAGTCTTGCCACTGGGAGTCTTCCAAAGACCACTGGAAATACGTAAATAGGCTGAAATGTTTATAGATGTTCCTGTTTGGCATTAAATTGATTTTCTAAGGGTTTTTAAATTTAAAAAGAAGATTGTTCAAATGGTGTTTATAGTTAAAAGCTGTATATTTGTTAGGGGATTTTTGTCAGTCTTCTACCTTGTGGCAGAAAAGAAGCTGAAATGTAAGTAAATCTTCCTGTTTGTAAGACATGACATGATTCTGTTTCCTCAGAATTTGCAGCTCAGTTTTTTAAATATTTACAGTAAACTTCTCTTGCTAGACCCTAATCTGTAGAAAATAATTAGTGGTCCAGTGGCTGGTGGCAACTTTTTTGATGTACTTTTGATGACCTTTTCTGTTTTCTATCTGGAGTCATCATGAGTGTATCCTAAATATAATATGAGCAACTGATTAGAAAATAGTCTTACCTTGAAAATGCAGTGTAAATAAACCCAGCCAGCCATTTGACATCTTGATGGATGTTAAAACTCATGAGAGATCTTAAAACTGAATGTGTGGATCCAACTTTATTTTCAAAAGAGTAAAAGCTATAGGCGATTACAGAGTGTGTAATTACTCAAGAAAGGAGTATATTTACCTATATGGGGGCTGTAACAAAAAATAAATTCAATTATTCCATCTGCTGTTAAAGTGCAAATAGTGATTAATCAACTGATTCCTAGAACTTGATTCATCTGGTTGATGATACAAAATAATTTTCTAAGAATCAAGTTTATAATGTCTTGAAACTGTTTATCTTGGAAGTGCAGAATTCGAGAAGTTTACATTCTGGGTAATTTGTAGTGTTTCCCAAGTTTTCATCAAAAAAGTTTTCTAGGTGCAGTGGCCTAAATGTAAATGTGTTGACTGAGCAGGTTGGAGGAGGAATATGTCCTCTTAGCCCTCTTACATCCATATTTGAAGATGGTTTCTGTGCAAATTATTCAACAACCTGATGTTGGGATGCTAGGTTGATTTTTTAAAAATCCTTCTGTATAATGAAGTCTAAGTTTCCTATAGTGCCAAATACCAGCAAGAAAAAAGCAGTTGACTGATTGCAAGAGCTGGCTTGTAAAGAATGCATTTGTGTGGTGGTGGAGGAGTCTGAGGAACCATGAGGGCAGACCTGGTGAGTGTTTTCCTTGTTTAAAATAAATAAAATGTTCTTGTACGGGAATATAAAACAACTCTTGCTGCTGTATGAAGCAATGTTTGACTCTTGAGCTTAAAGATCACTAAGCAATCGAATGCTCCTGAGTAGTTATTGGAGAAAGTAATCTCTGCTCTCAGCTGCATTTTCCCAGGTCTAAAGTTCATTTACTCTACTAGATTTGGTGACAGCAAAATCTGTAAATAAACCTGGTTCACATAAACACATTGCTTGGTTATGCTGCCTGGCAATGGAGCACAAAAATATCTGTTCTGAACTTAAAGCTCCCATCTTAAAAAAACAAACAAACAAAACCACAAAACAAGTCCACCTTGCTGGTGTGTACACAACAGATTGTTGCATCAGGAATAAAAAGAAATGCTTTTCTTACAAAAATAACGATGTGGTTTAGGTGGACTGTGCATTAATGGTTGCTGTTTGCATTTCCCTCCTTCTGTGACCTATTTCCAAACAGGACTGTTGTTCGTTCTTACAATAAGTAAGGGACTGATAGAGGCTGGGTTGGGGTTTTTTCCCCTTTTCGCTATAGGGGATCTTGAATCAAGCTCCTTCGTGGTTGCCTGGTAATAAGTAACTGTGGAAAGACTATGCTCAGTCAGAAAAGTCAATGGCTAACCCAATAGCAGGTAGAAATCTTTCATATTGTCTTCCTTCAGTGTATGTTGCCTTTTCCT